GGGGGTGTGGTCAGGGGAACAGCTTTCAGAACACATCAATGTTCTGGAAATGCGTGCTGTTCTGTTGGCCCTTCGGGGTCTTCGACCCTCCCTGCAGGGCAAGGCCATTTGTCTGGCTACAGACAACTCCACTGTGGTGGCTTATCTGCAGCGCCAGGGGGGCACCCGTTCCCCGGCTCTGTGTGCTTTATCCACCCAGGTCCTGTTGCTGTGTCAGGAGATCAGTCTCGATCTCACGGTGAGGCACCTTCCAGGTCGTCTGAATGTTCTGGCCGACACTCTGTCTCGGTCTCGGAGCCCGGTTCTCACCGAATGGACCCTCAAGCGTTCGGTGTTCCGGTCTCTTTGCCTGGTTTGGGACAGACCCCATGTGGATCTGTTCGCCACGGCCCTGAACTTTCGACTCCCTACATTTGTGTCTCCGGTTCCAGACCCTATGGCCATGGCGGTGGATGCTCTATCCCAGGACTGGTCGGGAATGTACGCGTATGCGTTTCCTCCCTTCAATCTGGTGGGCAGGGTGTTGGAAAAGATCCTTCTACACCCTTGTACTGTGTTGCTGGTTGCACCGCTCTGGCCTCGACAACCTTGGTTTCCTCTGTTGCTTCGGCTGTCGGTGGACTTCCCACGCAGCATCCCACCCCTGTGGGATCTGCTGTCTCAACCGAGGTCCCGACAGTTCTACTCGGGACCGGAACGGCTCCACCTTCACGGTTGGATGCTATCTCGGGAAGGCTCACTCAGACGGGCTTTTCTCGAGAAGTTGCAACTCGCATCGCAGGATCACTTAGACCTTCGTCTTCCGCCGTCTACCAATCTCGATGGTCCGCATTCGGTGATTGGTGTGTCGGACGGTCGATTGATCCAGTCTCTGCCTCTGTTCCCGTTGTAGCTGACTTTCTTTTGTCTCTGTTCAGGGACAAAGGTCTGTCTCCGGGAACTATTGCAGGCTATCGTTCAGCCATTGCTAGTGTGCTGGCTTTCTATGGTAGCAAGTCAGTGGGCTCGGACGCTTCATTGTCGGCTCTCATTAGGGGCTTCTACATTGAGAAGCCTCGTTCACGGCAATTGGTCCCTAGGTGGAATTTAGCACTTGTGCTAGATTCCTTGTTAAGGGCGCCATTCGAGCCCCTCCAGTCGACAGATCGGAAGTTTCTTACTTTCAAGACTGTGTTCTTGATAGCCTTTGCTTCCGGTCGCCGCAGAAGCGAGATTCATGCTTTCAGCAGATCTTCTTCTTGCCTTCGTTTTTCGGCTGGCCATTCTTCGGTCTCGGTGACCACTGATCCCTCCTTTTTAGCTAAGAACCAGGTTCCCGGTTTCACCCCAGGGCTTGTGGTTATCCCTTCTTTGGCTTCAACTCTGGATGGGGATTGTCCTGATCGCCTGCTCTGCCCAGTTCGGGCCTTGCGTTACTACTTGGCCAGAACAGAGGGGGGGGCGGGACACTCGTCTCGGCTGTTCCAGTCTCTCCAGCCCGGTCGCTCTGATATCTCTGCAGCGACCATCTCACGCTGGATTGTTCAGACTGTTCGAGCTGCGTATGAGTCGGCAGGGGATCAGTCCTTGCGGGTGTCAGGGGTTAGGGCTCATGAGGTTCGCGCTTTAGCTACTTCGTGGGCCTTATTTAATGGTTCTTCTTACGCTGAGGTCATGACAGCTGCTGTTTGGAGGGGTCATTCTACGTTTACGGAGTTCTATCTCCGATCTTTGTCGGGACAGTCTGACGGATTGTATTCTTTGGGCCCTCTTGTGGCTGCCCAGTCCGTTGTCTGTCCTCCCTCTTCTTTTGCATAAGCCTCATTATGTCTTCTCCGCGTGATCCGGAACGCTGGTCGTAATCAGGCTTTGTGTCACAAAAGGAAAGGGTATTTTGAATTTTTCCTCCGGGGGTATGGGTCCTATTGTTGGAACCCTTCATCGCTCCACGGAGACACCACTGCGGTAAGTCGAATTCGCATTATAATGACTGTGGTAACGTATTTTGAAATAGAATTGAGGTTTCTCTTGTGAAACCAATTTCTATTATAAATACTTACCACAGTCATTAGGTGAGTTCCCTCCCAGCCTCCCCTTGTCTCCTTGGCTCTCACTTTTTTGGGCTTTGGAATTATGAAGTGGGAAGCATGGCTTCGTGTCTTAAATCACGTGCGTGAATACTGCCGTCTGATTGGTGGGTTTCCTAGGGGTTCCCCATGGGGGGAAAAATTCTTTATTTACATATGTAAAGAGCCAAGTAAGGTTGGAATATGCATTATAATGACTGTGGTAAGTATTTATAATAGAAATTGGTTTCACAAGAGAAACCTCAAATCTTAACCGAATCTCAAGTAAAGGGGATCGAAAAGAGTATGTAGGGGGATTAGGCGGGCGATGAGTTATTTTATTCATCCCCCTTTTTTAACACTTTCATTTATATAACTATGTTTTTAAAACAAAAACCACATACTACTGAACTGTTACCTTTTATTTAGACATGCATCTGACTTTCAGATATATCACAAAGTATTTATATAAATTTGTCTTTATTATAGTCTAATATCTTGGAAAATCGGGTGCATGTTTAAATAAAAGATAAAAGTTTTGTTGCTTTTGTACCAAACACTAAGTAATCATATATGAACAAAAGCGTGACAAATAATATGAAGACGGTTACCAGCTCTGTTAGAAACCCATTTCTTTAGATTTGGTTAAGATACTTATAAATAAAATTTGGTAAGATTAGTGTATGGTTCTAATGTGTATTTCGGCATACAATAGTGAGTATCATTGACATACATTGTAAAGAAGCTGATATATAACAAGGTCACAGTGACCTACTTACCAACAATTATGCTACTTTTCATCGGCCGTTTTGTATCATTTGCAGCTAAGGTGTTACACAATAAATAAAAAAGTTTCATAAAATAACGTTGTTTTGTCCAAAAGATACCCTTTGTGATTTTGGTCCCCCACTTTACCCCCACATGTCACGGTATTGTCTCAAAGCTGGTCTCAACTTCACGTCTTATCATGATGGTTTAACCCCAAGGTATGTATATACACAAACGAAGTAAAACTTATTGGTGATAGCGACTAGAAGGCCCACATTAGCACCCATCCTTTGCTTTCCATCACCATTAGCCTACTGTATAATTACATCCGAAAAATCAATCCTCGGGCCATGTTTCCCAATTTTATACGAACGAATTTGAAAGCTCTGAAATGTTAGTTTCAAATATCGATTGATATGTTATCATACATCAGACTGAGTAAGCATAGGAAATATGTTAACATTAAACACGCTTCCCAATAAAATGTAGATAATTATTACGGGACTTCCGTTATCAATTTCAGTGAAATGTTATTTTGGTCCAAACGATATGCTATTATTTATAAAACATATAAAACATTCACAGGTAACTAAATATTCGTAAATAATTTTGTTTTAACTATTACTTTTTTGGTAAACGTTTGATGTCGGTTGTTTACGTAATCACACTGAATGTATTGAATATGACGTCACTGTGGTGAACGTAACTTATGATAATCATGCTTTATAAAGGTATATCTATATTAATTGACTTTGCGACAAGTAAAGGCACAGTGTCAAATAAACTTTATTTCGAAGAAAAAGTGTAATAAAATACGTATTTGTAACAATAAATTGGTGGTAAGTTGTCAAAATGTATGCCACGGACATTTTTATTTTTATGTTATGTTATTATAAAATATGTTATTGTGTAAAATATGTTAGCAACACTTGATATCAGAGACTGTAAAAACTGACAAGGTAATAATATGGATTGAGTTTGTTGTATATTTAAAAGTTAAACTTCATTATTGATTGTTCAATATTTCTAAACATACATACATGCTAAAGTGAAATGAATTGATACAGGCTACATGAGACGCGATTAATAGACCTAGATAAATTATTTCAATCTTTCGTTCAAGGTTCGAAATTCAGGAATAAAGAGTTTAACAAATATATGTAAAACTTAAATTCAATGGTATAAATGATATAAATATTGCAGTTTGTGATCAATGAGAAGTGACTTCTGATATAAATGTGTGTACAATTAAACTTGGTCAATATAAAATTAAATGATTCCGGACTGAATGTCGAATTCCACTTTAGATTTTAGATTTGTCAAATAAGACACTTAACGATAACATTTGTATGTTACCCTTACAGTTACTTGAAATATATTAAAAACTGCAACATTTGTTAAGATTAAAAGATAAAGAAAATATTTATAGTAGTGCAAAGTGCAAGGAGTATAAAAGGTGGCTTTAAGGATTCGATATAACATGTAACAAAACAAATGTCTATGAAGACAGAAATTTCCATCATCTAATAAAAGTGTCACTAATACACAGATCAGTGCATCAAAGTTGTCTTTTTTCAGGAAATGGCGAGTGTTACTATATTTCTCATCTGGGATTTATTTTAAGTAGGAATTGCGGTGTGTTTCTGATGACAAAATTAGACGCATATAGGCAATTTAGATATATAATGAAATAAAAAGACGGAAAAGAAAAAGTATCACAAAGCTTCTACATCATAAAAACAAGACACATATAAAGATGGGCCACCGATAACTTACAACCAGGAGCATACATAACTATTGCAATGAACAGTAATAGATGATATATTAAGCTGGCTATATGGATTCAGCATCACATCAAGGTTTATCATGTTGAACAAAGTTAAAACAGACGGATATTTGAAATTATAACAATAATCTGATTGGAATACATTTTTCCTAGTATGTGTTTTTTTTTGACTAAACAGCTTTGTTTGACAGTTTTATCCATTGCAGTATGCTGTCTACCTTGTCTCGCAGTGTCTCAAGTTCCTTCTTCAGGAATGAACAAAACACGGCCTTCTCAATATCATTGTTCACGAAAGACAAGTGGCATTCCCACGCCTTTCGCAGCATGTCGGATGACTTGAACATGTAGAAGTGGGAGGCAATAAGAGTCTTAAACTTGACTGAATTTAAACGCGTGTCGGATTGATCTATCAAGTCCGTATGTTTTGGAATGATCCCAAGTTTACTGGCTAAAATACCAACGTACACATCTTCCATTACAAAGGTTTTCGTGTACGGAATTAGTGTGCGCATTTGCACCACAGTTTTCATGGACATGATTATACAACCCCCGGATACGTAGTTCGGAAAGGTACTAAAAGAGTACTCCTTTTCAGATACTATCCATTTCTTCATGTATATGTTTGCCGTTTCTTTCCGAACTGGCAATGATTCACTCCTTACGTTTCCCAGATAAAGTCTTTCAGACTCTGTCTTTGGTATGTCCTGTAGGTGTTGTATCAGGAGATCTGTGGCCATATAAATATCGTCATCAATTAACACAACAAAGTCGGCCATGCTGCAATGTGCCGCCGCCCAATTGATGTTACCTATTGTCTTGAGTGTCAGGTTATAGTAAGAGTCAATATAGTCCATCAAGAGAACGTCTTTGTACTTCATTGATTCCATCTCCAATTGTTTCATGATGTATGATGATTGTGGAACTCCAACAGAAAAAACGGTTATAATATTCGGAAATCTTACTGGATCAGCCCACGTTTTACGTATGTATATTCTTTTAACGAAATTATCTGGTTTTGTTTTAACTATGAAGAGCAAAAGAAGTTTTGATTTTACCTCAGGTTCACCACATACGTGGCTAGGGTTGATTATAGGATGAAAGGCCCACTTATTGATAGCATGTTCTGGAAGAACACCAGTCTGAGCGAAATCATTCAGTAGTTTCGGAATATCCAGTTTCTGTGGATACAGTTTAGGGTCAAAGCCAGGAACGTGTTTACTGTTCCCAACATCGGTATCTGCAAATAACTGTTGTGCTAAATCAGTGTCTATACCTTTGTCCTCAAGCTTTGCCAATAAGCGTGACAATGAATTAATCATATATTGTGTCTCTTTTTCTTCCTCATTCCCTTCGCGGTATCCCATGTTGGAATCATGACTTGCCTGCTTCATTGCACCTTCTTTAACGAAATTATCCTGTGGTTCTTCTTCAGAATATTCCTGTATATTGTCTTGGTTCTTAATTCTACCTGGGATGACATCCATTTCATTCATGTAATTTTCGAGACCGAGCTTGTTATCCGATCTTTTCTTTTTCTTGTCCTGCAACATTTTCAAAAACTTCTTCAACCGAAGTTTATTTTCACCGGCATCTTTTACCTTTTTGTGACCAAGTTGTCTCCTATCAGCGTTCTCTTTGATTTTATCCTTGCTTTCGGCACTGACTTGTCCAATGTTGCTGTTGGTTTCGTTTAGATTCATGTGATGTACTCTCCCCGTATCTCTGAGTAGGTCGATGTTATTATGACTGAAATCCACTGATGTGTTGTCAAAACTGTCATCCTGTGTGATCGCTCTCCAATGCCGGATAACGTCTACCTGTTCCCTGTTTGGTTTTAGATTTTTTTGTAAAATACAAAATGTTACAACACTTGCATAACTTAGAACGATGGTTAGATACATGTATATGTGTCGTCTTGAAAGTCGTTTACTTCGCATGAAGTCACGGGTACATATTTTCAGATCCATCGTCCCACTATTTACTGTGTACACTATCCATCCATCAGCGTTTGAAGTGATGTGTTAATGGTGCAGACAGTCGGTATAAACTAAATTTAGACCGGCATGGTCTGCCTACCACACATTTACGTTATATCGTCGACCTGGATTTTTGTTTTACTCAATGGTGATTTTTAAGTTGTTCTTTATAAAAAAGAAAAATAGTATTTTGCTTTTTGACATTATTTAAGGGTTGGTATAATTATAAGTATTCTATAGTTCTAGAGAATATGTTCTTCATCTGTAAAAATAGCTCTTATTCGTACACGTCAATTCTTCACATTTATTCTGTCTATCTGAACACAGCACTTCCTTCACACTCAATTTGTTGTGTGCATGTGATGTTAAGTATCATTGTAAACTGCTAATTTAATACAATATTTATCAATATAGTCAGAGGAAATATGTATGGATATGACAAAGATACATCTATCAATATGCACTCCACATTAATTTCATATTCTCGTTTACATTAATTTTGCGTTACATTATACATGTATGTATTTCCCCAGCGTTCTTTTGTTTTCTCCTTCCGTCTCTGTTTCTCTATCTGTCTGTTTGTCTGTCTGTCAGTCTGACCCTTTCTCTCTATATGTATGTCTCCTCCATTTTTCCCTATCCGCATTTGTCTATTTTTATTGACATTTAATAAACTACAAAATGTAAGACTGAATCTATTTGATGGTTAAATATAATAACTTAACATTTTGAAAAAGAAAATCCATTTTTAAAGGGAGGGTGGTATTTATTGGAAAACCTTTTTTTGGTCAGGTTAGTAACTATACAATTGTATACATTGGGCATCATGATCAGATCTGGATACTTCTTTTCCCTGTTATTGCAACGCACATACCATTTTTTCTGGGGGGGGGGGCCAATGTATGAAACCATACTGTAATTTTATGAAAGCACTTTTCCTACAGATTTTTGTGTATTTTCTTTTCAATAAGGAGACATTCCCAGTTGACGTGCTGAAGCGCTGCGCTGCCCTGTGGTTCGGAGCTATATACTGTAAGGAAGACTATGGAGGTACTGGACTGACCAAACTGGACGCCTCTATGATATTTGAGGCCCTCTCCCAGGGATGTGTCAGTACCACTGCCTTTCTCAAGATCCAATAGTTAGACTTACCCATTTGGCTTTGTGTGTGACTGTGTGTGTGGGAAGGGAGATAATCCTACAAGGGTTGTCCAATGACAAATACAACCATAACCAGCTGGTCTGCAGATCAGAGTACCCATTGTTCTCGTTATACCCCGCAACGAAGTAAGGGGTATATACTGGAATCAGCTTTGTCAACTACCACCTGAAATTGTACATCCAGGTATTATTTTTTCATTCTGACCTTTTTTTTATAGCAAAACTGGTTCATCTGGGCTAACGAAATTTAATGTGTATATTTTGACATGGGGAGGTAGTACAGGATGTATATCAGTGACCAGTATACTTAAATAAGTGTACAGCCCAGTCAATAAAGAAATCATTACTGGTGGGAGACTATGGATTGCTTGCAATGCTTTGCCTTAGTAAATCTTTAGCTTACAGTTCTGGTTTATATAGCAGCGGGGGTATTAGTTAACCTTTGGCTTACGGTTCTAGTTACATGTAATAGCCTATTGCTGGCAAAAGTAGCCTGCTATTTATAAACTTTCAACTGCCTTTATTCAGAATATGTATAGGTCACTATTAGAGCATGAGAAAATTAAACAGATCGTTAGTTTAAAGTCAAGCAGTACATTCAAACAGTACTTTACTGTGTCTGCGAAAAATCCTAAACAAATCTTTTTTGTTATGTTTTTATCAATTTTTGTTGCTATGCCTGCTTTTCATTTATAATGTTTTCAAATACAGTTAGATCATTTAAACCAGAATCATTTAAATATAGACTCAGTGGTCTAAGATTGGTGTCTAGTTAGCATTGGAAAAGGCTTCCAAAGTATGTGTATTAAAAAGTTCAAAAGGCATAAATCTTTATTCTGAAAACATGAAAATTGAAAGAGCCTGTTATTCTAGATAAACAAAAAAGGTCCATATGTGAGAGGGGCCCAGTTAGTTGTCGCATGTTATGAGTATCATCCATTTCACTGTAATGCCAAATAAGCAGAATATGTATTTCTCTCATGTTTCATGGAACAAATAAAAAATTCTGAAATATAAGCATAAATAAAAAGAAAGTTAACCATGTTTTATGGACAAATGATAAGAAGATCTTACTTTTTTCTTCATCAAAAATATCAATAAAAACTTCAAGTCCCTTTAGAGCATTTCAGGTTGTCAGAAAAAGTTTAGTTTAGTTTAAAGATATTTTATTTGAATAATTCAAAAGGATTTGGACACAAGTCATTTCAACTTAAAAACTCCTGTCTGTTTGGTGTAAAAGCAGACCTTTCAAAGTAGACTTTTACAAGATATTCAGGAACTGTCATCAGCAATGAGGGCATTCTTACTCAGAACGTTTGGTACTGATTCCACAATGTACATGATTTTGGAATTTGTTCAGTGATTAAGCTAGCTAATTCCTTCAATAATCGATGTAAACAGCCAGGGTTAGATTCTTGATACATATACAAACATAAACTTTTCAAATCAATAATAAGTCCATATCGGGACTCATATCAGGATAGTCCTTCAGATAGGACTCCGAACAATAGGTATAACATATATCAATGACTAGTCCAACAGAAAGGACTAGAAGCCATACGTCTTGTGTCCTGATGACTCTTTACCAGTCAAAATCCTCTGTAGGTCTCATGTATCAATGAATCATAATAGAAACTGTTCCTCGGATAGGACACGAAACCTTGCCACATCTCAGTGACTAGTCCCACCGATAGGGATCAAATTGGTAGACCCAATAACATTCAAAATAGTCCCTCAGAAAATCAGGAAATGCCCCATATCTGTAGGTCTCATATATCTATGGCTCGTAATTATATGTCCATGTATGATAGGAACTGTTCCTTGGACAGGACTTCAACCTGTAGGATACAAAACAGTCCTTTGAAAAGGATTAAAACTTAGATAAAGATTGGTCTACAACTTACAACAGAAATGACCTAACCAGATTGGAAATCTGCATTAGTACTGTTCAGTGACATATAACCCCTTTTTAATGTGTCTGTATTTACAGCGTATGTACCTGGATGATAGATGAGTTTGGCTGTGATGACTTGCGACAGAGGTTTATTCCAGATTTAGTTTTACTGAACAAGTTTGCTTCGTACTGGCTCACAGAACCTGGTAAGTGTTATATGTAATTCCTTGATGATTGCGAAATGTTTTTTTATGGATGCAGTAAAAAATATTCCATGATCTTAATTTATGTTTCTTAATTATTTACACACCATAAAAATGTAGCGGTGATAGACATTTTCTGCCCTTATCATGCATAATAGAATAAACAGGGGTATCTGCTTTGTAAGAGAACAAAATGTTTGTTTCTGTATTATATCAAATATACATGCTGAAGTTTGTGATTTTGCATATGTACGTGTCGCTACACTCGTGTTACATACAGGGAATACTCCATATAATAGGACTGTTACTGAAAGATGAATATATTTCTGATGACGGATTGTCATTATGCTAATTGCGGCGGATTATTTCTAAAAATCATTAAAATAGCCAGACTTAAAATAGCCACGATCTTTTATTTGCATTTCGTATACAATTTGTTTTTTATGCAAATATTGTGCAGTACCATTTTCATTTTCAGGTCATGATATTTTAATATTTTGTAGCCTACCAAACAATGACCTAGTATGAATGAAAGATATTATTGTATGTGTTAAATTACTCAATTTGTGTTGACAGATTACGGGAGTGATGCAGCTAATATGAAGACGACAGCCGTTAACAAAGGAGACCACTATGTTTTAAATGGATCTAAGGTAGGATAATCATGGTTTTCTGTACCAATCGGCCATACCAGTAAACTTCTTAAACTCAAGCATAGCCCTCTTATATACATTTTATATAAGTGACTTAAGGAGCTATGATACCTTACTGTGACTTGTAACTCCTATTTATAAGATTTCTACACTGGTAAATAGGACTAAATTAATGACCCAGTTGAAAGGTACAAATGTTCATGCATTTATCACACTTGAGGTAACATCATCTTGTGTTACATTTATTGAACAAAGTTAAGAGGGATAACTGAAACTTAGATATTCATTTACAAATGAAGATAACAAGAATTTGGTTTCTTTGCAATTCGCAAATCACTTCTTCTTATCAAAATTTTCTTTAAAATAGAAAATTTCTTTTAGAAAAAAAGTCAGGGTATAGTTTTATTTTTTAAAAGTAATGATACTGCATCTCTTCGGTCGAAACATAATTCTATATTCTGTTTCAGCTTTTTCAATGATGTGTTCTAGATTCCCATGAACTATAACAGGTCCATGAGTCACACAAGTAAATCAAAGTGATGACATAGAAAGCTGCGAAAGAAAATCTTATCATAAACATGTTATACATGTACGTTAACATTTTTACTGGGCATTTAATGTATATTTATAAGGTATGATATAATGATTAAATTTAGTCTTTTATAAGTGGGGGAGGAGAGAGTGATGTGTATGTGGTCATGTGTCGGACAGGAGAACCGGGGCCAAAGGAATATCGTGTCTGGTGATCGAGAAAGGCTCCCCTGGACTGTCGTTTGGGCAAAAAGAAAAGAAGGTAAACAAAGCTTCATGCTT